CATACATACATACATACATACATGCATACATACATACATACACACAGACATACATACATACATACATACATACATACATACATACATACATGCGTACGTACATACATACATACATACATGCAGGCAGTTCAAACAATGCAGCAGAGAGATGGAAGATGTGACGCTGTGAAATTGAACGTGCGTTATGCGCAAAGGTGGCTTTCTGCAACCTTGGCCAGACAATAACCGTAACCTGGTAGTGAACTACAGGAACCGTACGGACAAAACCGAGGATCATGCAGTAAACCCCCCAGGAAAACATAGGAAACATAGCCGGAACAAAGAACACCTGAGAAAAAAACCTATCGGAAACTAATGGAAATCAGTTGAGTTCATAATCTGTTTTGTATTTCCTAGGTGAGTAGGAAGAGGAGAACATGGGAAACCCAAAAACACAAAACCAAAATGAACCAGCAGGAGAAATTAAGAACACCATGGAACTCCCAAGAAGGCAGGAAGGCTTACATGGATACATACGGGCCTCATGTCTGTAGATGTATGCATATGTATATGTAAGACTATGTGTGTGCATATATATATATATATTCATGTATCCCTACACCTGCTGCCTTAATATGTGCTGAAAAAGATACTAGAACAAGACAGCCCAATCAGGCCTATTGCTAACTTTTGCTTCTTCGACGCCTTTCTACAAGGGGAGTGCCATACTTTACATGATTGCGCACCCATTGTAATGCCGGATATGCATGCCGGGAGCTGCAGCTGAGTGAAAATACACCGGACGGAACAATGTCAAGATTCGCGCGCACCACTGCCTGCCGAAACTATTCCCGGCATGTACATCTAGGGGTGTCCGAAAATAGGGGACCCTAATATAGTACCCTGAAAAATAGGATCCCTATTATAAGGACCCCAAAATCAAGGTACCCTAATTTTCTGAAACTCCCATCTTGCATGGCCGGGCCATCGGGTTTAACACTCTGACCAAGGCACCCGTGCTTGGCGGCGGCAGGTGCCAAAGAAACGGAGATGAAGTCATCGACTGCTACGCTTGAAGCACCTGCATCGGAATACTGAGGGATGCACACCGAGGCGCATGTGCCCTATGAGGAAGCTTTACACAGCTGTCTCGCACACGTGGCAATCCGCCCTGTGCTCTGGACATGTTCGACTCAACTGTTAACACCTGAGTTTTGCTCTTTGCCCAGCTGGCAAGGTCCATCAGACCATCATCTTGAGCTCGTTTCTACCATGTGGCAATTGTGAAACAATTCAAATACAATTCAAATTTGAAAAACTCATGAGCCCATTCGGGCAAGTGGCTGCCGTCGGAAAAAGCATTGAAAAGGGTTGCAGGAGACGTCACTGAGTTTTTCACAGGGAAAGTGCGTTCTCTGCACGCCACATTCTGTGCCCCGAGCTCAAGTGACCACGAGGGGTGCTTCGTCGTGAGGACCGGGACGAGGATCTCGACCGCGTTTGGGAACGGGGCGTCGATGCTGTCGATCGCTCTACATCCGGCTCTTCAAAACAGAACAAGAAGCCGAGCCGGCCATCAGACTGCTTCGTGACCTCGATACGCCCAGAAACGCAGACCTCTTTGAAACCCCATTGCAGGTACAAAGACGTGACGGTGAGTTCTTTGGTCGCCAGCTCCTTGTGCCGGTCAAGAACTTGCACCTGCTGCCAGACCTGCTGGAAGAAGTTCATCTCTGCCTCACCAAGGATCTCATCCAAAGGCTTGCCCGCGAAGAAAGGGGTGCGAACTGATGCCGTGACAACTTGCAAGCTGTCCATGTCGATCTGCACGTAGACAAGGTGGCGAGTGTCTTCTAGTCGGTTCACCTCTGCTTCAGATCGGCTCTGCAAGCTCTGCAGATCTTTCCCATTGCCTTGGCCCTCGTGTGGCTCAAGCTCAAATGCTCCTCGGCCCACAGTGCTGTCCACAGCTCTTCGCCCTGCAAGTGAGGCTTGATCCGTAAAGTCCCGCAAACCCAGCAGATGGCGAGTCTGTCCACCCAGTCGGCTGTAGCTCACATGGAAAACCTCCGTTCTGAACTTGCTGGAACAGCTATCGACCAGCCGTGTGTGGAAAGCCCCCGTGTGGACACCTCGGTCGGAGCCCCTCAGAAGCTGTTCTGCCCGCTCTGCCTCGTCGCTTGTCGCGACAAACTCTGTGAAGCATTTGCCTTGCAGCGACACCCTCGGATCCTTCAACAGCAGAGAAGCGATGTCGGCACCTGGAGACGTGAGCTGTAAGTCACCATCGAGCTCCACCACCGCATCGCAAGTAAGCTCGAGAAGAGACGTAGCCGCTGACAGCTCCGTTGTCGCGTTACTAATCAGCAAACCCTGCGCTTCCCGGCTGTGCCACGCTCGCTCGACTGCTATGGATGCCAGACACACAAGCATGAAGCTCCACAAAGTGGTCTGACCGAGATTGAGTTGGGAGGACTCGTAACTGGTGTGGCTTTCAGCCGAATAAGTACCTGTGAAGGCCCGCAGTTGAGTTTCAGCCACCATGCCCATCTCGCAAACGACTACCAACCATGGCCTTGTGCAAACCAGTACAGCAGGCACCCGGACGACTGCAAATGAGGCCATGGCCACCTGAGTGCTCTGCACCTTCGTGGTAGCTATGGGCGAAATTGTCAAGGCGATCAGCATCACGACGCACAAATACCACATATCAAGCGTGCCTGGTCGCAGCACGCGTGGAACAAGGAAGCCAACACCAAAAAAGCAGAGGTGAACGGCGCAAAGCCAACTGAACTGCGGTGACATCCACCTCGGAGTGCCTAGAGACATATTGACCTGAACCGACAGGCAAGCAAATCCCCAGCAAGCTAGCAAATAGCTGTTGACACTGACTGCCATCTCAGCACGGGCTTGTCGTACCCGGCTCTTGATCATTCTCAGCTCCTCTTGGCTGAACTTGCTATGATCGGGCGAGCACCATGAGGTGCAACTTCGGCATCCGCGCCAAAAAGCCGTCAGCGATTTGCGTTTCTGGCCTGCCATCCACAGAACCTTGCCGAGCAACATCACTTCAAGCACTGTCACAGCATACCTGAGCTTCACGAGGATTCTGCAGGGTTTAGGGTTTAGCGTTTTGGGTTTGGGGGGATTCTGCAGGGTTTAGGGTTTAGCGTTTTGGGTTTAGGGTGTGCTTTGTGATGTTTTGCCTGATCTTCGTTTTCATGGTGGGCCCGGGCAGTGCAGCAAGGGCTCCTGAAGGATGGCGCATATGTCTGCAAGGGTCTCACAAGATACTGCGAAGAACACAAAATCCCTCAGTCAATGAGAAAAGGGCTTTTGGGTACATTATCGAATTGCTATAATTAGGGACTTTAAGGTATATGTTTGTTTTAACTGTTGCGATCCCTGCTCCTGGCCTGCAATATTGGTTCGTCGCGTCACTTCAACAGAGTTTCTTACAGGCACGAGGTGAAAGCCCGCGTCAACCATGAGTGGACCAACAGCAGACAATTTAAAACTCATCTGATCGTGCGCAGCTTGCGTTTAGATATGAAGCAGAGTTGGCTTGGTTAACACGATCGAACCGAACTAATTGGTAATACTGATCGCACCTGCTTCAACACACACACACAGACACACACACACACACACACACACTCACGCTGGCACACACACACACACATACACACCAACCATCCATCAGCAACACATGAAGTATTACACTACTAGACGTAGGTTACATCACCCACTCCATCGGCTTGCTTGTATCACTGGCGTCCGGGGTGAGATCCCTAGCATGAAGGCTTCAGCGAAGTGGAATTCACAAGGTTCGGCAGGTGGTCTGGTGAGGGCCAAGGAACACTTGAGCTCAAGGGGGCTGAAAGTGGGCAAAGCTTTCCACCAAAGGATGGAACCTACAGTCTCCATTGTAGTTCCTTTTTGGGGATACTTTATAAAGTCGTTCATATATATATATATATATATATATTAGTTAAACCAAAAAAAGGAACTACAACGGAGACTATAGGAAGGGCTCCAGACCGTGGGCAGTCCAAGGTGCAGTGTCCCTTTTGCTCGTTCCCCTCATTTCCTCGGTCCTCATCCCCTGTCTTCCCACTCTCGCTTTGAGGAGATGAACGTAACGTACGTGTTTTAGGGTTTTTGGGTTCAGGGCGCCGCCTCCTTCCGATTTCTATCCGCCTTCGAAGCATGCCTCAGTTTTGTCTGTCAGCAAAGCCAAGGCGCAGCCAAGCCTTTTTGTCTAAGCCATCAGGATCGAGCGAAGACTCCATTGCTGTCCGAGCTGGTTGAAAGGTGAAGGGTGCTATGCGATTGCCAGCACGGCAAGACACTAGGCAGCGAGACTACCTTTCGACGCATGCTCTGTTGCTGTTGGTCGCGTGTAAAGACGAGCACATGGGCTGCGGATGAATCCTACTTGGAGGTTCATGGGTAGTTATAAATGGGGTTATAAGTAGGGTAACTATACTTATAACCCATATATTAGGGGACTTATGACCCAACTTATAACTACCCATGAACCTCCAAGTAACCAGTTCCACGAGTCGGTGGTCGGAAGATCCTTCAAGGTCGAGTCAAACTTCCAAAACGTGCACATCGAGGACAGATGGGGGGTCTACGGAATGTCCGCACCGGAGGTAAACGGATCCCCAAATGGCACGAAAAGGAGTATCTTCCCAAAGCTCTGAGTAAATCGATAATATCCTGAAGCCGAACTTCCCAATCCCGAGAAGTCGGACTACTCGAAAACACACAGCCGCACAGACAAAAGCTGTAGCTAAATGACGAGAGATAAGTTCAAGCCCGAAGCCGGCATTGCTTTCGTGTTGTCTGGAACCTTATTTAGAATTTACCTATACTCTCCATTGTAGTTCCTTTTTTTGGTTTAACCAAATATATATTAACGAGTTTATAAGGTATCCCCAAAAAGGAACTACAATGGAGACTACAGGTAGAATCAATCAAAGGGGACCGAATGTTTGACACGGTCTTCGACACTCACAGCTTGGACAGGGTAAGGGTTAGGAGAGTGCAGAGACAGTTGCCAGCATGGAACGAAAGCAAACCTCCTTCTACCCTGCAGGGTGTTCCCGCTTTTTGCTGGGTCCAAGCAATGAGGAAGAGGTGTCACACTAAACCTTAAACCCTACTTGGAGGTTCATGGGTAGGTATAAATGGAGTTATAAGTAGGGTAACTATACTTATAACCCATATTCGGGGACTTATAACCAAACTTATAACTACGCATGAACCTCCAAGTAAACCCCTAAACCCTAAACCCTAAACCCTCAACCCTAAACCCCAAAGAGCAGGTCGGGAGTCCAACTTCAGATCTTCCAGAGCGAAGTGATAGGAGTAAGGTTTAGGGTTTAGGGTTTAGGGTTTAGGGTTTAGGGTTTAGGGTTTAGGGTTTAGGGTTTAGGGGGTAGTTGATGTTGGGTAGCAAGGCTTGCCCCTAATGTCGGGGCCTTGAGAGTTAGAATAGGGTTTTGGGGTATATTATGCTACACCTACAGTCTCCATTGTAGCTCTCTTTTTTTTGGTTTAACCAAATATATATTAAGAGTTTTTTAAGGTATCCCCAAAAAAGAACTACAATGGAGACGACAGGTATTTATAATCAGGAACCCCCACACTACTCTTGGTAATTATTAAGGCCCCTACATCATATGGTGTTCTCGAGGTTGACGTTCAGCTGACCCTCTAGGAACCCTGATTAATGCCTTGTGGCTTGGATCCTGTATAATAAGACAATCAAAACATAAAGATAACATAGAGCAGGCTCTACAATCCAGGGTCTAGGCAGGGCAGGCAAAATGGCAAATCCAATAGATGGAAGCCAAGTCCTGATTCAAGTCGAGTTTCATTGCTTTTTGCATCTGGTTTGCGGCTTCTCAACCATGAAAATCGCTCAACTGCAAAACTTACTTGGTCGTCCACTCATACCTATAGTCTCCATTGTACTTCCTTTTTTGGTTTAACCAAATATATATTAACGAGTTTGTAAGGTATCCCCAAAAAGGAACTACAATGGAGACTACAGGTCGAACCCGTTGCCTCTTGCAAATGGCCACGTAGTACGACGTAGCCGGTTCGTTTGGGCCCCAAAAATCGGTGTTTCCTGCACGTCCTGTGGGGAATCAAATCGCGCTACACACCCACCCTGCATGCTCGACGAATAATACAACCTAAATACCCGGCGGATGACGGGAAACGCATTGTTCAGCGGCTCTCACTGTACAACCTGCTGCAATGGCGAGAGCAAGCTCGTCACGTAGCCGATATCAGGTCATGTGGTTCTTTTTTTTTGAACCCTCGTTTAGGTTAGGCTTGACGTTAGGGAACACTCGAAGGCCCGGCATCTCACTCGAAACTGGGAGCTGTTGATTAAATAAGCTGCAGCTTGATGAACTGGTCTCAGACCTCTGCAGCACATCAAGACATGGTCAAGGTGAAACTCAGGAAGCCAAGGTCCCTGCTGTGGCCGTGAAGGATTATCCTAAGGACCAGGCGTATAACTTCAACCATCCATAAGATTTTTTTTAACTCCCGCATGGCAGTAAGGATGATGACAGCCGCATCAATAATTGCCGATGCGCCGCTAGAGGCTGGCTCGCGCGTGCAAAGTTTCAGTCGGAGCATCTCTCTGCAATTCAAGCGTAGCGTGAAATCCATGACCAGCACGCCTTCCATGTCCCGAGCTCGCGCGGCTACTAGAGCGTTTGCGCCGCGAAGACCGAGACGAGGATCTCGACCGTGTTTGGGAGCGGGGCGTCGATGCTATCGATCGCTCTGCATGAGGCTCTTCAAAGCAGAACAAGAAGCCAAGCCGGCCATCAGACTGCTTGGTGACCTCGATACGCCCAGAAACGCAGACCTCCTGGGACTTCCACCGCAAGTACAAAGACGTGACCGTGAGCTCTTTGGTCGCCAGCTCCTTGTGCCGGTCAAGAACTTGCACCTGCTGCCAGACCTGCTGGAAGAAGTCCATCTCTGCCTCACCAAAGATCTCATCCAAAGGCTTGCCTGCGAAGAAAGGGGTGCGAACTGATGCTGTGACAACTTGCAAGCTGTCCATGTCGATCTGCACGTAGACAAGGTGGCGAGTCTCTTCTGCTCCAGATCGGCTCTGCAAGCTCTGCAGATCTTTTCCATTGCCTTGGCCCTCGTGTGGCTCAAGCTCAAATGCTCCTCGGCCCACAGTGCTGTCCACAGCTCTGCGCCCTGCAAGTGAGGCTTGATCCGTAAAGTCCCGCAAACCCAGCAGATGGCGAGTCTGTCCACCCAGTCGGCTGTAGCTCACGTGGAAAACCTCCGTTCTGAACTTGCTGGAACAGCTATCGACCAGCCGAGTGTGGAAAGCCCCCGTGTGGACACCTTTGTCGGAGCCCCTCAGAAGCTGTTCTGCCCGCTCTGCCTCGTCGCTGGTCGCGACAAAGTCTGTGAAGCACTTGCCTTGCAGCGACACGCTCGAATCCTTCAACAGCAGAGAAGCGATGTCGGCACCTGGAGACGTAAGCTGTAAGTCACTATCGAGCTCCACCACCGCATCGCAAGTAAGCTCAAGAAGAGACGTAGCCGCTGACAGCTCAGTTGTAGTGTTACTGATCAGCAAGCCCTGTGCTTCTCGGTTTTGCAAAGATCTTTGCACTGCCACAGCAGCCACCGACACAAGGAGCCAGCCCCACAAAGTTGTCTGAGCGGCGCCAACTTCTACATCCGACTCGAAAGTGTTGTCTCCGTCGACGGTTGTCCGAATTCGAGACACGACATACAGCCCCATCTCGCAGCAAAAGACCAACCATGGCCGGGTACAGCCGAGCACCGCCGGAATTCGAACCAAGGCAAAGGAGACGATCACCACCAGGAGGCTCTGAGCTGGTGTAGTGATCGTAGGTGCCAGCACAGATGTAATTATGAGCATAACACCAACGTACCACACATCGAGTGTGCTGGGACGCAGCAGCGACGGAACAAGGAAGCTAGCGCAAAAGAAAGCCAAAGAGATGACATTGTGCCACGTGAACTGTGCCGACATGAACCTGGACACTCCTCTAAAGATGCTAATTTGTGCCAGCAAACAGACCAGCAGCCACAAGACGAGGAAATAGTTGTTCACACTGACGGCCAGCACCAATCGGGCTTGTCGTACCCGGCTATTGATCACTCTCTGTTCCTCCAGGCTGAACTTGCTCTGATCGTGCGACCACCATGAGGTGAAACAGCGGCATCTGCATGCAAAGTCTCTCAATGATTTGCGTTTCTGAACGACCAGCCATAGACTCTTGCCGACCAGCAGAACTTCCAGCACCACCACGGCACACCTTGTCGGGATTCACATCCGCTTTAAGGTTTTCGAGCCGAAACGATTTCAAGGCAGCCTTCCTTCAAGCCTTCAATCCTTCCCTGCTTATGATGCCAAGGTACATCCAAGCCTCCTGGTTTAAATCATTTGGATCGAGGGAGAACTCCATTGCTCGGCCGTGCTGGTCCAATGCTGCAGGCTTTACTGTAAGAGTTGCAGTTAGAGGAAAACTCTTGCCAGCACTGCATGTTCAGATCTAGCCTGCATGTCGTTCCATGCATGCTTTCGTGAAGGCGAGCACAAAAACTGCGGACGAACCCAGAAATGGAGGCACGCATGTAGCTGCACATGTTCCTGACCGAATCACCCAATACAGTAGTCTGTGCGACTTGCGGTTTCGCAAACGACCAAGCTACTAAACAGGTGAACACTGGCAATGCCCTGTCAGGCCGTAGTACGCTGATTCGTCTTAGGGCCCTGCGATGTCAACAGATTGTCACCAGAGTCATGACTCATAGCAATCTCAAAAACTTCCCACATCTTTCCGGTCCTGAAGTATCAGCCTGAAGCATATGAGAACACTTACCGAAATCCTGAACAGCTTCTGCGCTGCAAGGCCTCGACGGTTGCTGGGCCTCCAGGCGGCGTCATCGTGACCGTCACCCAAATCATGCACCTAAACAGTAGATGGATGTGGAAAAGCATACCTGGGTGTGTAGGTACGAGCCGTTGAAGCTTTCCTCGCTGGCTGTCTTCGGATTCTTGGGCGGTAAATGGCCTCTTGTTGATGCGAACGTTCAGCAGCTTGACTACAATGAATAAAACCCGTTTTACGTGTTGCATGTATGTGTCGCTGGTTTGTCCACGATGCACAGCCTGCTCACTTTATTCATGACGAGGTTGTGATGCAAGAGGACTGCTGCCCCTGGGAATCTGCTTCGCTGTTGTTCAGAGCATTCTGGCAATCGCCCAACGAGGCAAGTTAAATAAAATGCGAGCCTGGCATTTTTCCAACTTGCTACGACGACCTGCTTGTGCGATTATTGCTTTGCAGTGCTTGTCGCCTGGCTATAGCTCCGTCGATTTCAGCAACCCAGAAACCTGTAGTCTCCATTGTAGTTCTTTTTTGGGTTCTTTTTTGGGTTAGCCAAATATATATATATATATATATAACGAGTTTATAAGGCATCCCCAAAAAGGAACTACAATGGAGACTACAGGAATCATCCTGCGAAGCATCGCCCTCCAAGAATCGCATCAACAAATTCGTCTCGGCCCCGGCCGAAGCGGCCGGAGATTCCCACAAGGAATCCCTGGAATCGCTGTTTCCCCACCTCTCAATCCACTCCCTAACGAAGCCCACTCCCCCCTCGTCAAAATTTGATGTGCCAGCGGATACTGGGCTTGCCGAGAGTACCCCCCCACGCCCTCCCCCCCCCCCCATCCTCTCCCTCTTGAGACGCTTGGTCGGACCATGAGTCAATTCTGCAAGTGTGGCTTTGCATCACTGGCTATGCAGGCAAATCAGTTTGTTTTTTTCCTCTGTCCTTCTTCACTTGCAGCCGGGCCGAGGCCGACGATGCCAAGGCTTTAAACAAATTGCCCAGAATCATCAAACTCATCACGTCCATCCAAGAACACCAAGGCCACCACCAACAGCAACAGTTAAAAACTAACAATAAGTCAAACTACAACTGAAGATTCAACTCCAACTGCCACGGTTATTGCTACTGGTACTGCGAGTGCTAAAGGTACGGGTAGTACTTGTCGTGGCTGTGCTGCCGAAGGCGCCAGTTGTACAGGCAGTACTAGCAGTACAGTAGTACACATAGTACTATTTGTGGTAGGAATGCTCGCTGTACAAGCAGGCAGTAGTAGTCGTCGTAATAGTAGTAGCTGTTGTTGCTGTGGTGGTGGTAGTAGCAGTAGCAGTAGCCAGTAGTAGCGGTAGTCCTAGTAGTGGTAGTAGTAGTAGTAGTAGTAGTAGTAGCAGCAGTAAAAGTGGTAGTAGTAGTAGTAGTAGTAGTAGTAGCAGTAGTAGTAGTAGTAGTAGTAGTAGTAGTAGGTGCAGTACTAGTAGTAGTAGTAGTAGTAGTAGTAGTAGAAGTAGTGGAAGAAG